GTCAGTCTCCTTAACAACCGGTTCCTCCTGTTGTAACACAAGCACAGCTTCGCTCCAGCGATTATACTGGCCATCCTGCAGTTTTATATCAAGAAACAAAGTTACTTTATCGGATGCTTAAATATGAAAAGTCAACGCTTTCTAAGCTGGATTTTTCCAAGAGCCTGATAAGGATAAAAATCTTATCGTATTTACTATAGGCGGTTCGCTATAAACAGCCAGCCTGACCTACTTAATAGCATACAAACCTTTTCAGAGGTATTGAAGCAAACTGCATTGGAAATCCTTGCTATTTTCATGTATTTAGAGAAAACAACCTGCATCCTTTCGGCATCTACGTGCCGTGCGCACGTACGTAGCATCACGAACAAGTACATAATAATCCACGCCACAAAACATCTCAGTTGAGCCAATTTTGAGAAAGACTACCTCCCAAAGTCACCCAATGTTCTCCTCAGGTCACTTAGACACCCAACCCTCCGCCCATTGAACACATGTTGACCACGTTAAGCGAAGCTCATCCTCGGTAGCAGACTCATACACTCAACCCGTACTCAATACTATAAGACCCGCCCTACAGCCGAAGCCTTTCTAGTCATGCCCTGAGGTGAGGGAGCCACGACTTAGTCCCAACTTCCTAAGCGGCCACTTCTAAACTTCTAACATTCAATAAGATCATTTACAAAAGCCTCATCTTCTCATCTGCGTTGATAAAACACGCGTGGATGGAGCGATACAAGAAATCACATCCTATAGCTACTCTTGGAAGTATGAATTTTCATGGAAGTGCCATTTCTAAAACAATGCACCCACAGAATGAAACCAAAACGTAGGCCTAGCCGTTGCTATTAGCATGATTTAAAGGAATTTGTAAATACATTCAAAGAATAATTTTGAAATCAGGTCCAAGCTGCTCTTTTGAGGGTAACTTGACGCGTTCAGGAGGAATGAGATTTGGATCGACCAGCGGAAGACCTAATTTTCGACGCCTTTCCAGTTCGAGAAAGGCTTCGCGCCTAGCCCAGTCTGCTTCACTAAAATTGCGACAAGAACCAAAATAAGTGCAAAGCAACTGAGTAAGAAATTATGACGTGCATTGAAGATGCGAAAATAACAAACAAAGGGATGGAACTCACATACCACGAGGACGATACCAAAATTGAAAAGCCATTCCAAACGTGAAAAATACCATCAGTAGGAAGACAGCAGTTTTGTACTTGGAGATGTCATCGATTTTATCATACTCATTCCACCCGAACGGAAGCCAATCCTACGAACTAAAAAATATAAGTATTCTGTGCCTTTAGCATGTCTTTTGCCTCCGATTCAATTTTTGCTTTAGCATCCGCTGGAATATCATTCTTTTTTAGAATGTGCTTGAACGAAAAATCAGACGATAAAAGCATTGTTGAAGTGTTGATATTCCGCAAAGAAGCGGGCACCGAAGTTAGGCGACAAAAAGACGGGTACTTTAGAAAACGAATACAAGGAAGCCGAACAAGCATATCCTGGGTAAACAGTAGACACTGCAGCGCAATCGTGCACATACAGCATTTTTTGCAACGCATTTATTGGCCAGTGTATATTTGCAAGTTTTACAGACTTTTGCCAGATTGCAAAGCAGTACATGCAAAGTTGGAATTACAACGAGATAAACTTACGTGAAAATTTGCAGTATACTCATGAGACCAAATTTTCTTAAGATCACACACCTAAGTTAGTAAAAAAACCGAATCATGTGATCATACTAAAGGCTTACATGCAGAAACGTTACCGAAAGTGTACCGTATAAAGGTTTTCATGTAGTTCAACAAATGTATGGTATCATTTTGACTTCGACCTTGACATTAATTGGTTGAATGGTTGGGTTTAGCCGCTGTAGCGCAGTCGTATACACTTTGCTCTATTCCTATGGTTTTTACTCGTAAAAGACATCGAAATTTCCACTCCATTCTCCTCGTTGATTGGTTTTTAATACTTTAACGCTATGGATGAACTGGCTTTTTTCTTCTCTGATGATTTGTGTTCCACCGAAGATATCCAAAACTGCGGTTATACCAAACACACGGCACAGCATAATCGCTCGAGAGCTGCACCGGTTCACCAACTCTCTGACGATGTATCTATAGGTAGAAATAAATCAGAGCCTTCCTTCTCTACTAGGATATCAAATGCATTTCTTCAGTCAAACAGCTTTACGGGAACTAGTAGTTTGCCTTTGAACTTGCCTCCCGAGCCAGAGGATGGCAATATTGAGTACAAGGTAAGGCGGAAGTTGTACTATGTAATGCACGTATAACTTAGCTGAAATTAATAAACCCTACTCCTGATCGTTTGGAACATCTAATGACACAAATGAAGTGGCGCCTTAACGAAGGTGGTGGCCAAGCAATCTACCGACTTGGTGTGGATGATAATGGAGCTGTGACGGGATTGACGGCTAAGGAAATGTCTGCTTCTTTACTGACCCTATGTAAAATGTCGCAGAGATTAGGTGTTTGTATCCGAATCCTTCGTGAATGTACAATATCCGATGTCTCTGACTCAGCTGATTTTCGGCAAAAGTCATCTGCTTCCGGATCATTAATTAGTCCCCAAAGAAAAGCAATAGAATTGCATGCAAAGTGGAAATTGTCGATCAATCAAGGCGTGAGTTTACCAACTTTGTATGGCTCTATCAGTGTTCTACCTGGTGCGTCTAAGCTGCTATGCTATAGGTTCCCGATTTACGTGTTGCCATGCTGGGTAGCGTTGATGTTGGAAAGTCCACCCTTCTTGGTGTTCTCACTGATGGCGAAATGGATGATGGCAGGGGTAGAGCTCGTCTAAATCTGTTTCGCCACCTTCATGAAGTTCAATCTGGTCGTACGAGCAGCCTCAGTTCCGAACTAATTGGATTTGATACTGCTGGGCACTTAGTTAATCGCCGTCGTTCTCAGGGACACCTTAACAAACGCACCGTCGATGAGGTAAGTTTACTACCTTATTTGAGATTATTCAGTGGTGGCTAAGCGTTGTGCGCAGATAGAGGGTCCGTTATCAGCCTACTAATGAGAAAATTTGCTCTTCTTTAAAAAAAGCATTAAACGCAGTCACGTATTCCCAACCTTTTGCTTAGGATGGATGGTACAAGGCAAGCCTAAAAGCACTTGGTTTGCTCCTTGATAGCCGAGGCAAATGTAGTGCGGTGGTGGATATGGCTTAGTCAATGGTTTGCTTTTCGAAAACACCAATAACTCTCAAAACGGATTTTACCGCTGCTTTTACCCATTTGTCTCTTACGTTTACTATCAAAATAGATTTTACAATAGCATGTTTCTAAACACTGCGCTAGAATAGGAATAGTCGTCATCTAGAGTAGATGAGAAATTTGAGGATGAATTTACGCTCAATTGGGATGCACATCTATGACCTGAAAATACAGTTCGTCGTATAGCCGTTTGTTCTGAAAGATTTCTCTGCAGAACGGTTGATTTATGAATGGTGCACATCCGCAGAACCTCAGATCTTCACCTTTCTGATTACCATTAGTGGAGAACCCGTCTGTAAGAGAACTATTTTAATGTGGTTACGGTCGATCGATTAGTTGCTGGAACTCGAATATATTTCCGCTGTTTTGTTCTGAAAGGTATCGTTGTTGAATTAACTAGTGCTCGACCTTTTCGGTTTCGGGAGCTCTGCGATAATGTCAGGGAATCCCAGGCAGAAGAGCAGCCTTTGGGATTTCTGTGTTTGGTTTAGGTGTTTTTGTAGCGTTTAAAATACACTTTAATTTGAACCTTCTTTGTTCCTTTATAATGCATGTAATACATATTTAGCTTCCGTGCATTAATCATGAAGTTACTAAAATTTATATGCGTGCAACTTTTTGCGCATTCCCTTAGTTGCGCACTATTTTAATTCGTGTAATCTTTAATCTTAATCCCCTTGTAGGTAGCTTTCAAAGGCCTTATTTTTAACACAAAGATGGTGCAGTTTAGCTCGGAAATATTTTTTTTTCGGTTTTACTAAACTATAGATGCGCACTTGCTATTGAGCCTGCTAGGGGGTTGCTTATTCACGCTCTTCTGTACATAGGCGGCTTTGTTACCTTAGCAAACCAGCGGTACTTAAAGGTACCGTCCTCCGTCTGTGCCCTTACTTAGTTGGAAATTGATGCATAGATCGTCTAGTGATATTTGCAAGTGATCGTGTTGTTTTTTTGCTCGTGAAATTATAGTGCTCATAATTACAAGATGACTGTTATAGGTTTTCACACAGAAAAATGTAATAGTTTACTGGTTAAATGGCACTCGAGCAGATTTGAAAAGCTAAGGTAGTTTGTTTGGGATTCGGTATTTTGTGGTTTTTTTTGATACAGAAGAGTCGCAAATATCAACGCCTTGTACAGATAGGTTTCCTTATTTTCCATCAGCTAATGACTATGCGATATCAACTTAATCTAGACTACGTAGAATGTGGATAAGGTCAGGGTGAGCGCTGGTATTG